CGGGCCCTCGGGCAGTGCCCGAGTTTCCAAATGGGCTGTCCGCCCCTGCACAGACCTGCTGTGTAGTCCACAAACTACTCTAAACAGAGAGTCATAACAAGTAATCTTTTCAGCCAGCAATGCCATTTAAAATAAATAACTCAATTTATTTGCTCTTTTATTCCACAATCATAGTGATTAGAGATGAGCGAATTATTCAAAAATTCGATTCGGCTGATTCGCCGAATTTGCGGAATAAATTCGATTCGATGCGAATTTATTCGCTGCGAATTTAACTTATTAAAAGGGTTTCTAGGCTTCAGAGAGCCTTTATATTAGTGCAGAACACTGTACCTTTAATTTAAATGCCCTTGGAGTCTGCTGGGGAAGAGAACTAATACTGTCAGTCAGTATGACATGCAGATGAGTGCCGTCGATCTTAGAATCACCGCACACTTCACTCATTTGGGCAGTCACAGGGCCAAAACCAGAGTGTGGAGCCACAGTGTGGCGGTGGAGGCAGCAGCAATGGGAGGCCATACAGCACCCTATGACAAAATGGAACCCACCAGCAGTGTGAGGAGACCTGAAAGTGGCACATGGCAGAGTGTGGCGATGGAGACAGCAGCAATGGGAGGCCGTACAGGGACCCATGACACACTCTGGACCTGGCAGCAGCATGAGGAGGCGGTACAGGGGCCCATGGCAGAGTGAGCGAAGCGTAAGCAGCTTAAATTGAAGGCCAAATACAGAGGGCCTATGTTAAAAAGTCCCCCCAGCAGCAGTGTGGGGAGACGACTATCAAGAGTCCAATGGCAGAGTGGCGGAGCAGAAGCAGCTTCAATTGAAGAAGAAGAGGATGAGGATGAAGAAGAAGAAGAAGAAGAAGAAGAGGATGAGGATGAAGAAGAAGAAGAAGAAGAAGAAGAAGAAGATGATGAGATGAAGAAGAAAGAAGAAGAGGATGAGGATGAAGAAGAAGAAGAAGAAGAAGAAGAAGAGGATGAGGATGAGAAGAAGAAGAAGAGGATGAGGATGAAGAAGAAGAAGAAGAGGATGAGGATGAAGAAGAAGAAGAAGAAGAAGAGAAGAAGATGAGGATGAAGAAGAAGAAGAAGAAGAAGAAGAAGAAGAGGATGAGGATGAAGAAGAAGAAGAAGAAAAGGATGAGGAAGAAGAAGAAGAAGAAGAAGAAGAAGAAGAAGAAGAAGAAGAAGAGAGGATGAGGATGAAGAAGAAGAAGAAGAGATGAGGAGGAAGAAGAAGAAGAGGATGAGGATGAAGAAGAAGAAGAAGAGGATGAGGATGAAGAAGAAGAAGAAGAAGAGGATGAGGATGAGGAAGAAGAAGAAGAAGAAGAGGATGAAGAAGAAGAAGAAGAAGAGGATGAGGATGATGAAGAAGAAGAAGAAGAAGAAGAGGATGAGGATGATGAAGAAGAAGAAGAAGAAGAAGAAGAGGATGAGGATGACGAAGAAGAAGAAGAAGAAGAAGAAGAGGATGAGGATGAAGAAGAGGAAGAAGAAGAGATGAGGATGAAGATGAAGAAGAAGAAGAAGAAGAAGAAGAGGATGAGGATGAAGAAGAAGAAGAAGAAGAGGATGAGGATGAAGAAGAAGAGAAGAGGATGAGGATGAGGAAGAAGAAGAAGAAGAAGAGGATGAGGATGAAGAAGAAGAAGAAGAAGAAGAGGATGATGATGAGGATGAAGAAGATGAGGATGAAGAAGAAGAAGAAGAAGAAGAAGAAGAAGAAGAGATGAGGATGAAGAAGAATAATAATAATAAGAAGAAGAGGATGAGGAAGAAGAAGAAGAAGAAGAGGATGAGGATGAAGAAGAAGAAGAAAAAAGAAGAAGAAGAAGAGGATGAGGATGAAGAAGAAGAAGAAGAAGAAGATGAGAAGAAGATGAAGAAGAAGAAGAGGATGAGGATGAAGAAGAAGAAGAAGAAGAAGAGGATGAGGATGAGAAGAAGAAGAAGAAGAAGAAGAGGATGAGGATGAAGAAGAAGAAGAAGAGGATGAGGATGACGAAGAGGATGGGGATGAAGAAGAAGAAGAGGATGATGGTGAGGAAGAAGAAGAAGAAGAAGAAGAAGAGGAGGATGAGGATGAAGAAGAAGAAGAAGAAGAAGAGGATGAAGAAGAAGAAGAAGAAGAGGATGAGGATGAAGAAGAAGAGGATGAGGATGAAGAAGAAGAGAATGAGGATGAAGAAGAGGATGGGGATGAAGAAGAAGAGGAGAGAGAGGATGAGGATGAAGAAGAAGAAGAAGAAGAGGAGAAGAGGATGAGAAGATGAAGAAGAAGAAGAAGAAGAAGAAGAAGAGTAGGATGAAAATAAGAAGAATTCCAGTACAGCAAAAAGTGTATCTGCAGAGAGCTCCGCTATTTCTGACAGTTCTCTGACAGTTCCTTCACATTTACAGCGGTTGAAACATTGTATCTATTTGTTTCCGAATAATAACATCTGTTTCCTAAATGGAAACAAATAGATACAATGTTTCAACCGCTGTAAATGTGAAGGAACTGTCAGAGAACTGTCAGAAATAGCGGAGCTCTCTGAGGGACACTTTTTGCCGGCTGTAGAAGGGATGAAAATCGGCCGATCGATCGGGGAAAATTCGATTTGTGCATCCGAAGTTTGCTAATTTTCGGATTCGGCGCGAATCGAATTTTTCCTAATATTCGAAACGAATTCCACTTCGCCAAGTTCGATTCGCTCATCTCTAATAGTGATGAATCCATTATGTTATATTTTTATCCCTCCCATTCTTTCACAGTACTGCTTTAAGTGTCAAACATTTTTTTTAAATGGTGTTATCTATGAATACAAAAAAATAATGTTACATTTCAGGTATAAGTGCACACATTCACAAGAGAACTGTTGTTTTCTTATCAGAGAGGATTACTTATTGACTGCATGGTGACTGAGAACGAAAATAAAACACGGTCAGATGCCAATTTTATCTCAAGTTTACCAATCAATTTTGATAACATTTGAGCTGGCACAAATGCAGCAATCTTAATAAGGTCACCTATCAGCAACACATATGTGTGAAAAATAATTCAGTCTTATCAAGATACAACCCTGCTCAATGATATTCGAGTCAACAAGTCAAAATACAAAATAAAATGTCTTACTCCTTTTCAAACACAGGACTATATTCGGTTCTATACCCCTTTATTGTTTCACAAAGTGATAACATCACCATTTCTCCATTGCTTCAATAATCTATTCATGTTTCATTATCTTATTTCCATGCTTCTATTGTCTAATCATGCAATCAAAACAGGGCTTTTTCTAGCTTGCCAAGAAAAGAATGATCAGCTTAAATATTACCTAATTTGCAAAGCAGGAGTTAAAGAGCTGAATGACAAATTGAAGCTACATATTCGCTCTCCATTGTTTAGACTCCAGAAACCCAGGTTGGCAACAATACTGAAAAAGGCAGCGCTGTTAAATTCTCAGATTGCTGAAACAGAACATTCATGGTGCCAGCTGATTGTACAAGAAATTAATGGTATTTCTTTTTTTCCCACCAAAACTATAAAGAACTGACTTATCAGATAGATTGTGTTATTGTTATTTTATTAGAATAAAAGGTTTCATTGGTAAGAGGGAAAAAAAGAAGGATTGCTTAGCAGAGAAAGAAAGGGGAACTGTTCTTTGCTCTGACACATAGGCTAACAGGCTACAGTGCAAATTTCGGACTCTCTCTCACCAAACTTATTGCCTCCTGGCCAAACACATTACCACTAGCATGGGTGTGCCGTATATTCATTGGTGGAAATAGACTGCAGAAGGGCAAGTGCATCGCCATTTTGAAACCAAGAAATAGGACATTCACCCCAAACTCACCAGGAGAATGGCTGACAAATAAACGTTAACTTAATTAAGGTGAATATGTGTCTTTTTTTTTTGTTTTGGATGGAGCAAGGAAAGGTTAGAGCTTCCGTCAGGTTGCTGTCTTTGTCCCCACTGGGAAAATTTACCCTATTTGTCTGATAGACCATTGTTACTAGTGCATAAGGTGCCCCATTAACAAATTTTAAAGTTGTTAGGGAATTTATTATCACTTTAAAGAGATTGATTCTTGCTTGTGCTAGGACTGAAAGTGAAGGGAAATCCAGGGATTTATTACTTCTAACCCTTCTCTACTCCACCCAAACTGTTATAGAGGTTTAAGTTTTGATTCTGAAATGCTATAGGTGCTCATAACATCCACTGATGCTCTAAGAAGCCACAAAACGACTTGTTCTAAATCCCGGTCACATCAGGTGCGACTTGGCATGCGATTTGCATGCCATGCGACTTGCAAATTGTATGTAAGTTGCACCCTATTATCCACAATTACAGCGGTGCAGTTCCAACTTGGTGGGAGCCACAACAATTTCTAAAGTACATGTACTACTTTTGGTGCGATTTGCCCAGACACCAGATGTGTCAGATGTCTTGCAAATTGCACCTGAAATCGGCATCTCACCCAATTTTGAAATTGTGCGACTTCACTGTAAGTTGCACGATTTCAAAGTCGGCTTGATGTGACCAGGGTGTTAAAGAGAGAATTGTCATATTTTCAATTTATGAGATCTATGATATTCTAAATTTCATTAACCACAAGCCTACAAGGCACTTATACCCCCTTCCTGCCCAGGCCAATTTCCAGCTTTCAGCGCTGTCACACTTTGAATGACAACTGCGTGGTCATGCAACACTGTACCCATACAAAATGTTTATCATTTTTTTGTGACAGAGCTTTATTTTGGTGGTATTTAATCACCTCTGGGTTTTTTATTTTTTCTTAAACAAACCAAAAAGCACTGAACCACTGATTTTTTTCTTAGTTTTTGTTATAAAATTTTGTAAAAAAGTGATTTTTCTCCTTCACTGATGTGCGCTAATGAGGCTGCAGTGATGGGAACTGATAGGCTGCACTGATGGGCACTGATGAGCAGGCACTGGTAGGTGGCACTGTTGGGCATTGACAGGCATCACTGATGGGCACTGAAAGGCAGCACTCATATGTTGCACTGATAGGCGGCACTGATAGGTGACACTGACTGGCACTGATAGGCGGCACTGACTGGCACTGTTAGGTGGCACTGACTGGCACTGTTAGGCAGCACTGATGGGCACTGATAGGCGGCACTGATGCACACTGATAGGTGGCACTGACTGGCACTGATAGGCGGCACCGACTGGCACTGATAGGTGGCACTGATTGGCAGCAGTGATAGGTAGCACTGACTGGCATTGATAGGTGGCACTGATGGGTGACACCAGGGGGGGACTGACAACTCATGGGACCCCCGGACAATATGGGATCATGGGGCCCCTGTGTCCTTGCCCAAACTCAAAAAAGCCTATGAAAAAGTTACCAGGGGCATCTCATGGGGCCCCCTACTGACCCCGGGCCCTCGGGCAGTGCCCGAGTTTCCAAATGGTCAATCCGCCCCTGGGTGACACTGAAAGGCAGCTCAGATGGGCACTGATATGTGGCATTAATGTGCACTGGTAGGCACTGAAATGTGGCATTTATGTGGCACTGATGGGCATTGGCAGGTGGCATGGATGAGCACTGACAGCTGGCACTGATGGACACTGACAGGTGGCACTGCTGGGGCTACACAGATCATCAGGGCACACTGATCATCAGTGCCCTGATGATCAGTGTACATGTCCCCTCTGAGGGATGCCGATTACCGGCTCTCCTCTCCTCTCGAGTTGTCAGCGTGACAGATCGTGAGGAGAGAAATGCCGATAACCATCATTTCCCTATTTACATGCGATCAGCTGTGATTGGACACAGCTGATCACATGACCAAGCCGACATCTTCGGCTCTTTCCGTTGATCGGTGATCCTTGGACACAGTGGACCGCCGATCGCCGCACTGTGCGCTCCCGGAGCTGCGCATGAGCGGTTAGAATGGGAGGACGTCATATGACGTCCTCCCAGAATGAGAGAACCACCTTGTGCCCGTCATTATACTATATGGCAGGTGGGAGGTGGTTAATCAAATTAACCACTTGACCGTTTCCCTATATAGAAGTACTGCTACAGGGAAGCAGGGTTGTGCAAAATTTTGTATATATACGTGATTTGAATCTCGGGGTAGGGGGCGCGTGCTGCCCTACCCGCGCCGCTATTGGCAGCTAGGGATGTCAATCACCGGGTTGCGGCCGGCAATTCCCGGCCAGCACTCGATGATCGTCAGGTAAAGCTGACAGGGAACAGACCTGTGTGTAAACAACCCAAGTCTCTCTCCTGTCAGCAAGGGCGTGCTGGCTTGTATTGCTCTGCACAGTAGTAAAACACAACACAGCACATAATGTAAAACACACAGTTAACACAGCTAATCCTTGATCGCCCCAGATGTTAACCCCTTCTTGCCCAGTGTCATTAGTACAGTGTCAGTGCTTTTTATTAGCACTGATCACTGCATTAGTGTCACTGGGGATGTCAGTGGCAGTCAGTTCCCAACCAATGTCAGAATGCCCTCTGCAGTCCCGCAGACCCGCTATAAGTTGCTGATCACCGCCATTACTAGTATAAAAAATAAGTAAATAAAAATTCCAGTATATATACCGCCATTTGTAGACATTATAGCTTTCAAGTAAACAAATTAATTTACACGTATTGGCATGTAGCAGAACATATTTTGGCCTAAATGTATGAAGAAATTTGATTTTTAAAATTTTTTATTGGATATGTTTTATAGCAAAATGTAAAAAATATTGTTTTGTTTTTTTCAAAATTGTCGGTCTTTTTTTGTTTATAGCTCAAAAAATAAAAAAAACAAAGAGGTGTTCAAATACCACCAAAAGAAAGCTCTATTTGTGGAAAAAAGGACACAGATTTCATTTATGTACAGCATTGTATGACTGCGCAGTTGTCAGTTAAAGTAATGCAGTGCCGTATCGCAAAAAATGGTCTGGTCAGGAAGGGGGGTAAATCCTCGGGAGGACAAGTGGTTAATACTAGTCATTTTAAAAGCCTTGAAAGAGCTGTTTTTACATAGCTTGTTTAATAAACGAATACAATACAAATGCCTGCTAACAGAGTTCAATAGCTCAAGCTCAAATTTACCAACACAACAAAAAGAGTCAGTGCAGTGACTCATCCCCTACCCCATGCTCTTCTCACACATGGCCATGTAGCGTTTCAATTAGAGAGAGACGGATTCTGAAGGCAAGCAGCTCAATATGCTCTGGGAATCCTGTGTCACAAATAGATTTTAGTATGTCTATCTCTAGCTGGCACAAACTGTAACTGTTTTATCACAGCAGTTATTCAGAAAAGATGCTGAGTGCACTGTGTGACATTTAAACAATCACTTGAAGGACAATCCTCACATGTGTATATGACATACCATCCTGGTATTATTTTAAATATTAATATGTACACAGTGAAATGAAGCACATCACAATTATCCGATTGTAAATAGTACAGTAATAACTTGAAAACACCCTCAATTAACATATACTGTAGTTTTCTTTTATGCTTTGAACAAACATAAAAAATCTTTTCCAGAGCCTCACAGTTTTCTGTGGGCAATAAATCTATGGGTTGACTGGTTCTTGGCTGGCTATTATTTTCCCGAGTTGATGCTGGCACTGGGGGCTTCTGTTGAGGAAATATACAGTACATGGGTACTCATATGCTTATTTATGTATTATCAGGTAAAAGCCAGAATGTCCTCTGTCTATTACCTTGTTTAATAGACTTATACTTTTTTCGATAGTTGTCCTTACAGTTACTTAGCTTTTTAAGTCAACATTTCATCTATTTTTAGTATTCATTCCTCAGATCACTGTGAAAAAGTGATCCATCACTGAGACAATGATACAGCTGGCAACACTATGCTGGAAATTTGGTCCAAGAAGTGAATGTTGATGGTGCCGAAAAGCAGCAGCCCATGTATCTGCTACAGGGTTTGGCAGGCTCAGGGTGACTGGAGCTTGAGATCCTGTATCTCTAAGACTCTCTCAATAAAGATGTGCATTGATTTATCCAGAACAGAACATGATTTGACATCTACCTGGCATAAAAGGAAGGCACTGCAATGTAAATAGCTGAAGTGTTGTTACTGAATTAATTCTTTGCTGGCAGATGTGGTTTAAACAGCCTTTTCTTAGTTGTATTGTAAATGTTTATTTTATTAATATTATCTCTGCTTATCTGCGTTTTTCATATATACACAAATGAATCAGAAGTGACAGCCAAAACCTTAGATTCCTTTCTTGGTTGCTGCACACAGTAGAGGATAGTGAGATTTGCAGGCACAAATTAGCTACCCACTGGACGATGGTTTTCTAACCAGTATGTATAGCTCCCAAATGACCTTAATTTGGAAGTAATGTCTCTCTTTTGGAACCAAATCCCTCTTTCCCTCTTTACTCCCTGTTTTTGGTTTGATTTATAGACTTTTATAAAGCAGTGTCATACTGCAGAAAACCAAATATACAACCTCTAAATGATTACATTTCTTCATTTGAAATGCTAGTATATAGAAAAGAAGTGGTGAAAAAAATCCCTTGTGGGTTTAACCAATCATTTTTGTGTATTAGTTCTTCATGGTCCACATAGTTAAGGTGCCCTTCTTTCTCATCTTAGAATGTTTAAAGTTGTGGGCATTTATTGGTATATCCCCTAATGTGCTACAGCTCAGCAGAGTTATAGTGGCCAGAGGATAGAACCTTGAAACAAGCAGGGAACAGAGACATACAACTCTACTGGAAGTGTTGAATGTCGAAGAGTCTTACAGAGACTAAGCTGGAACATTTTTGGTGCAGGTGTGGTGTGATTAGAGCCATACAAAATGTATGGCTCCAATCGCACCGCACACAAATCGCATGTGATTTGCAAAGGAATGCAGTGCGGTTCCTGTGCGAATCACATGCGATATACCACACATATTTGAACCCAGGCTTAAACCCAAAACCAAGATACAGGCAGTCCATGGGTTATGAACAAGTTAGGTTCTGTAGGTTTGTTCTTCTGTTGAATTTGTATATAAGTTGGAACAGGTACATTTTTAAGTGTAACTCCAGCCAAAAAAATATTTTTGAGTTTTGGATAGTATAGGGAAGGATTAACTGGCCATGTAGTGATGTGGGATTGCTGGTAGGTCTGCCGAACAGTAGGTGGCAGTGTGCGCAGAGCAGCAATATGGCCACCCGGCGGTTTCTAGGACATCACTCATCATTTCTAGGTTTGACATCACACTGCCTCCATTCTTAAGTATGAGTTGTATGTAAGTCAGATGTTTGTAACTTGGGGACTGCCTGTACAATATATTGCAGCCTATTAATTATTAGATGTGGTGGCTGCATTAGTTTTCTTTTTTGTAGGATTTTTCCCTCTACTTTTACCAGTAACACAACCCTTGTATAAGAGTGCCCCCCTCTCTGGATGAAGGAGCACCGGGGCACCTTTTGACAGATCACACTTTTTAGGTAGTTTTTTTTTCTTTTGGGATAAAGGTTTTACATAAATAAAAAAAATCTGACCATTGTAAACACTGCGGATCTTGTTCTTTTAAAAAAACAACATACTTACTGGCTGGATCACCAGGCGGAAATGGAATAAAAGAAGCCTAAAAAAGAAAACAAAAGCAGCCATCATAGCTAAGAATTGGTAAGCTGCAGTATGATAAATGTTTGTTTTTTGGGTTTAATTCTGTTTTAATGGTGATTTCTGGTACAAAGGCTGTTTCCATCTGCTCCTCTGCCCTCTAATGCATGTCACTCCATCAAGAACTTAATCATAGAGTCTCTTTGATCTTGGTGGAGTGAAACATATTAGAGGGCAGTGGAGCAGGTGGAACAGCCTTTGTACCAGAAATCACCATTAAAACAGAATTAAACCCAAAAATGTGCAGGAACATATTATTAAACATTCTTACCAGACTTTTTTGATAGAGAATAGCTTCTTTTTCTTTACTGGGATGCTAACATTGTGGAGCAGATCACAGACCACTTGAAGTCAGCACCAATCGACCGCTGAAGCAGGGGGTAAAGTCCTTGAGTGGAGAAACCTATTAAGTCTGCAGTACTCTCCTGTAGTTAGCTCCATACACGGTCCCAGTCCAGCAAACAGTAGTGATAAAGAATAGCTGCATGGCTTATGGCCATTTGCCATGTGACTGGTTTGACATATTTATATATTTTCATTTACTAATTGTATTTTTCACACTTACAAGCCCTGATACAGTCCTAAATTAAGGTGAAACATGTTGGGTTTTGTGGGACTTTGGGGAAATCTTTTGAGCACTTATTATTAATATTCTTTAGTGGTTAGCAAAAATGAACAATATTGAACTTGACTATCAGAATTCTCAGTATTAGACAGAGTTATGTAAACTCAACTATTATGCGATAGCAAGATCAGTTTTGAGAGATGAGAATTGCTCTTTTTTGAAACATTTCTTTTGCTCAACCTAAACAGCCACATAAGGAAACATTTCCTTGTGCCTACAGAAAGCTGATAACACCATTCTCCAATCATACTTTCTTCAAGCAGACACCCATAAACTATACCATGGTATAGTTTCTTAACAAGAGCTCAAGGATTGTTGCACAGGTTTTCAAAAAAAATATACAATTGTTGTAAAT